CCTGTATTTTCTCCTTAACTGCTTCTTGTAGGAGGGCTGGCCTCTCCTTTTCTACTCCCTTACCATGATGTCCTTTTGATTTTCTCCTAGAAGCTGTATTGTCTGTCTTCTTTCATCCTTCTACCTACTCAACTTATTTAGTAGTGACGTGCTTGTGTAACATCAAGTCCTTTAGGAGAACCTAAATTAGAAGGTATCATGCAGTTTACCTGTCCTCGCTAGCTGATCAAGGACCTTCTCCCTCTCCCGAATAAAAGTCAGAGAGGGCAGATGCAGTTTTAAGTTCATGATGAAACAAAAAACAACTCAGAAAGGAACCAGAAGCTAACACCAGATTTTCTGAATGTTTGCGGGTTAGAAGATTTTTTGCAAGTGAAGAATAACCCCAAGCAGAAAGTTCTTGAAGAAGGCCATTTCTAGCCAGCCAAAGGAAAAAAAGGCATAGGTATTTTTTTCCTCTTGACTTCGTATCTTACATCATTACCTCTTTACCATGCCCCTCGTTCCTGAGGGACACTCAGCTCTGGCAGTGGGAGAGAAACTACTATGAGACATTTCCAATGCCTAGATGCCTTCTGCTGATCTTGCCTTCTTGAACACATCTTTACATACACAACAAGCAGAATGAAGGGAGACAAATTACTTCTTGTAGTTGCTAACTCGTCTACCAGCTCAAACCAGTATCTGTAAACAAGTGCTATATAGCTCACCTTACTTCTCAGCAGAAAGGAACCAAAGGAGAGGTCATGTATGATGCAGCATGATGAGAAAGTTAGCTGAGCAGAACTAATTAACAGGAAAAAGTCTGTTCTAGATACAGACAGTAGAATAGGAGGATGTAAGAAAATCCAAATAACAGAGAGTTGTGCAGATTGCTAAAAGACAGTAACTGAAACAGGTGTTCAACCTGATTTAAGTGAAAGGTAAGGCTAGTTTATTCCAGCATCTTGCAAACACACCGCCAAGGAAATGAAGTATTTCCCAGTCTCTGGAACCTTCAACTTGTCCTATTTGCTACCGTTTGCTAGCTGGCTATTATGTTTCTTGTATTAGGTGAGGCAGTCTGTGTCCATCTGACCTAATTGGAAATGCCTACATAGCACTGTACACAAATTCCATTGTATACTGCATATGCTTTTGCACATTTTTCAAGGACGTTCAAATCCAACTGAATTTGAATTTTGCACTGAAATATTGTATGTCAGCATTGAAATGAAAGTTTCAGAAGTCACGCTTGCATCTTCCATTTTTTAACATAACCAGCATCTTCGCCATTGGAAATGCTAATCTTGCAACTGTAATTCTTTTTTTTTTTTAGTGGAATTGCAACTTTCATCATTGTAGGACTATAAACCAGAAACAGCAGATATCTTCTTGGAGAGATAAACAGCATCAGGAAGACTAAACACCAAACAGAAACTAAGTAGCTTTTAGCACCTGGTTGGCCTTGCCAGGATTCGAACCTGGATCATCTGTATGGTCAGACAGAGGCTTCCACTGAGCACAAGACCAGCTTTGGTGCATGTCCCTCCCTCACAATTGCTGTTCTAAAACCTATGCGACTTTCAAGCTGTTTCTGTTCTGCCAGGGGCTGTGGAAAGGGGAAGGAAACATTCTGAAACTGAATGCTAGAGGAAAACAGCAAGAGACAATCAGTAGAAGATGACAGTAAATGAAAACAAAAGCATAGAGAGAAACTGAATCTCTTGCCTTTGGCAGTTCCAGGAGAAGCAGAGTATAAGCAAGGCATTTTACCTTGGTATTTTTCAAAGTCTGGCATGGCTTTTGTCTTCTTTTTTGGCAAATTGACTCGAGGATCTCCAACAGTAAGGCCCAGTATTGTACCTGGTGGCATTTCTGATGGTGAACTTATCCCTTTAAAAATACACAGATGAACATTGCCATGAAACTACCAATTAAGTTGTGATCTTTTTCTGCACTACTATTTTGCGCATTTTTGCCTGCAGGGATGTGACACCACTGTAAGTCAGAGAAGCAATCCAGAGTGCTCAATTTAACATGTTTTGAAAACTCACCAATGCTTGTCAAATGTTCAATAACAGAAGACAACAATAATAGCGTAAGACTTAGTTTGCAATTACATTTATGCTTAGCATGGAAGTGAGGTCACTCTCACAACTTACAGACTCAATTCATCCTTTGCACTTGGCACATCTCTTAAAGAACAAACAACCTTTGTTTTATATTTGTCTTCCAAAGGAAATAAAAAAAAGTTTTTGAAGTTTTACCTCTTCTCTGCTTAACTGCCTCACATTGGATAGCTTGAGTATAGTGTGAGATCTACCAAAGCCAGTTCCTTACCTGCTTCTGTGCTAGAAAGTGAGGAGAAGTTAACTTTATGATACTTTACAACTCAGCCAAATATACAACCACTCATTAGAAACAAAAATATATAAAGCAAGGTATAATACTTTCACTTTGGGTAGGAGCCTACCATTTTATCTGTGGAGGTATTGTACAACTTATTGCTTTAATCTGGGGTGTATGGGGGGGAAGAGAGTGAGAGTATATGTCAGACTGTATATCCCATCAGCAATCTCAAATCTAAGTTCATGAAGATAAGAAATAAGATTCAGTTTATCTATTATGAGTTTGGACTACACAGATGATTAAAATTCCCTTAAAAAAAGTTAATGTAACATTTCTTAAATCTTTGACATGCCACGGTGATTACCTAAGCACATGCTCAATGACATCACTCTCTTGATCAAGGAAAAAAAAAAAAGCATTTCCAAATTGAAGTCAACTTATTAGTATGCCAGTTTTGACTACTAGAGTTTAAGAGTTTCCCCTTCCTCCCATAGAACCCACATGCTCAAATACCTTCTAATAGCTCAAAGATAGCACTTTGATGTTGATGAAGAGATACTTTTTCAGAGTCCTTGCAGTTTTCTACCCACCAGTTATTCAGTTCTGTCTCTGAATCTGCCGTCTCCTGGAAAACAACACATCTAATTAAACCTGAGTGGTCATTCAGTATTTTATATCAGTATGAATAGACTCTCAGTTTGCCTTAATCACTATGGTTGCTTTCTTCCTCTTCAAGTTTCAAACCAAAATCGTTTTTTCCTAATGCAGTCTATTCCTATACTCCACCTTACAGTAATCCCAATAAGCTGTCCAGTTTAACCTGTGTCCCAAAAATAAACAAAGCAATCCACAATGCTCCCTTAATTCTGCTGTTAATTATTCTTTACAGAAAGCCAGAGATTTCGTGGCCTCATCACGTTTGCTGCAAGAGACAAAAAAACCCCATTAAAACCACAGTGATGCTATGTGCCAAGAGGTGGACAAAATACTAAACCCTGGAGAAGTTGCATATTTGATTGAAAACACAGAAGTTTTCTATACCTTACATGTCTTACCCTTTAGCTCTAGGTGCACTAGCTCATTGCTTGAGAAACATGATCTATGGTTTGTCAAACAGAATGTGAATTATTCTGGACCTCTCAGCACAACACACCACTACAGTAGAAACTACATAGCCTGCTCAACACCACCATTGCTTCTATTTTCTTCCTACCCCCACTTAAAATCTAGACAGGAGTTCTTCCTGAGATCAGCGTTAGTCAAGTGGCTCAATATAGAGAAGCTAACAGAGTAAAAACATATCGGTTAGCCTTTATAATAAGTAAAGCTAGATATTTTACGATTCTTTCTAGCAAAAGCAAGCTTGCACATTCTAGAAACCTTATCAAAATTATAGTAATATCCAAACTGCCAATTTCCTTACTGTTTGGAGAGAAGCAGCTTTCAAGGTCTCTGTAAGGACAGAGTGTGATAATGGGCCAATCAGCCGATATCTGAGAATCTCCATAGTTCTATCACTGAAACAGAGAAAAAAATTCAGGTGAAGGTACCATGGTACAAAACACGATTTTTTTTTTCCCCCAGTACTGTTAAGCCAGAATTCAGCTATACTAACTGGTTAAGGGTCACAGTTTCTGACTCTACTATGAACAAACCTGATCACAATGCCAGTAGTCTGCGAGATCCAAGAGTAGGACTGGAATGGATCTCTAGTGCCGTCACCAATTATTTTTTTCACTGGCACAGCTTTTTCTCCTTCTTTATCCTCCTTCTTTCTTTTCTTGCCAAGGCTCAGAGCAACATCCATTTGTTTTTCCTCTTGAACTGATGGTGTAATAGGCTCAGGAATATAGATTTCTTCAGGCTCTGAACAGTGAAAAATTGTTTTTAACTCTCTCAGCATGTCCTTAAGAAAAATGAAAAGTTTGGATTAGGATGATAAGCAGTGCATTGTAAAGCTTAAGTACACTTTTAAGAATTACACTGTACTATTTTATTTTCCTATATGGATTTAAGGGAATAAACTTCATTCTGCTGAAGTCCAGGGCTTACTATCAAGAGCTGAAAGTAATACTGGATGTTGTTAAGAATTTATTCTCACTCAAATTAACACAAGAAAAATTGCCAGGCACAAAATTTTACTTTTTTTAATTTTTATTTTTTTAAAGTTCATAGCTAAGTATCAGATTATGATTATCTGTGATGAGACTAAATTTAGCCTGTTGGGGGTGCCGGTGGGAAGGATGTGAATCAAGCAACATCATATTGCAAATGTATCCTGAAGCAAGTGACACTAGAAAACTCTTAACAAGCTCAAACACTAAAAAAAACCTCAGACGCATGCACCTTCTGTACAAGCTTTATAAAAACAAGCTGCAGAACATAAATATTGTTAGAGCAGAAACAATCTTCCAACTTTTAATTTCTAAAGCCATGCATTATATCCAGCTCTTCTACACCTTTCAGAAGGTGTCTTCACCATTAAAAATGTACAATGCATAAAGAAATCAAAGTCCAGCTATAAAGAAAAAAAATACCTGTTTGAGAGCTGGATGCATCCAGATCCACAACTGTCTGTTTTCAGACCCATCCCTGGGTTTCCAAATAAATGTAATGGGACCAAGCATATCCTCAGGATAGCGATCTGCTCGGTAAAGATTCAGGGAACCCTCAAATCTTCCAGACAGACAACAAGCCTCTTCAAATGTTAATCCTAAAGAAGATGATACTTATTGAAAACCAAAATAATCTCTCGTTTAAAAAAGAGAAGATTGAAATTCAGTCTGGTTGCTGGGACAGTATCAAAGAAAGAACATGTACCACAATTAGTTTATTAATAAGCAACTGAAAATAAGAATGTCTAGTCCTAGTATGATACATTTTAATTATGTTTTTCAACCAAAGTCACAACTCAGTATCAACTCTGTTACTACTACTATTGAGATTGGTAGGGTATTAAAAAAGGAAAAGGATGGGTCATCCTTTAGTCTATTCAGAATCTTAACTTTATTTTGAACTACACAAAATTTACCTGTTTCAACGCTACATATTCGAGCAAGTTGCTTCAGAAGCTCGCTCTCTCTACCAGTCAACTCCAGGCAACAATAATATGATAAGTCCTGAAACAATAGGAGAGTGGCAAAGTGAGACTAGCTCTTGAAAGTGAGCCTGGCAAGGAAGGACCAGACAGAGCTTCACAATTTACACTGAAGCAGTAATTTTTCATTCACTAAAATTTGTGTCAAAGAGAAATGAGTTTTCTTTTTGAACTTAAAATTGTTAGTTATAGGAGAGCTGTCAGGCATTTCTCGTTTGAGGGACAACCTGCTTCTCAAACCAGCAGACCAAAAAGGACATGGAACAAAGTGCCTGTCTTCAGCAGCATCCTGCTCAGGAAGATGATGCAGGGATTCACTGAATCTCTTAGCTCTTGAGAAGACTGAAGATGTAGTATTTCAGTCACAGTTACCAAAAGACTCTCCTAAAAGTTCATCTTGTTCGCTCTGATACTTGCCACCCTTCATTACAATTATCACAGAATCATTTAGGTTGGAAAAGATCTTTAAGATCATCAAGTCCAACCATTCACCTAACACTACCAAGTCCACCACTAAACCAGCTAAGGGTGAAGTAATAATTAATTTCATGTTTCCTGGTTTGGTGGCTGGATTATTTTTTAATTAAAGTAAAACTAGAATAGAATCATTAAGGTTAGAAGAGACCTCTAAGATGATCTAGTCCAACCGTCAACCCAACACCACCATGCCTACCAAACCATGTCCCAAAGTGCCAAGTCTACATGTTTTTTGAACACCTCCAGGGGTGGTGACTCCACTACCTCACTGGGCAGCCTGTTCCAGTGCTTGACCACTCTTCCAGTAAAGAAATTTTTCCTAATATTCAACCTAAACCTCCCCTGGCGCAGCTTGAGCCCATGTCCTCTCGTCCTATTGCTAACTACTTGGGAGAAGAGACCGACACTCACTTCACTACAATCTCCTTTCAGGTAGCTGTAGAGAGCAATAAGGTCTTCCCCTCAGCCTCCTCTTCTCTAGGCTAAACAATCCCAGTTCCCTCAGCCGCTCCTCATAAGACTTGCGCTCCAGACCCTTCACCAGCTTCGTTGCCCTTCTCTGAACACGCTCCAGCACCTCAATCTCCTTCTTGTATTGAGGGGCCCAAAACTGGACACAGCATTCGAGGTGCAGCCTCACCAGTGCCAACTACAGGGGAACAATCACCTCCCTGCTCCTGCTGGCCACACTATTCCCGATACAAGCCAGGATGCTGTTGGCCTTCTTGGCCACCTGGGCACACTGCTGGCTCATGTTCAGCCTGCTGTCAACCAGCACCCCCAGGTCCTTTTCGGCCAGGCACCTTTCCAGCCACTCTTCCCCAAGCGTGTAGCGTTGCATGGGGTTGTTGTGACCCAAGTGCAGGACCCAGCACTTCGCCTTATTAAACCTCATACAACTGACCTCAGCCCATCGGTCCAGCCTGTCCAGATCCCTCTGCAGAGCCATCCTACCCTTGAGCAGATCAACACTCCTGCCCAATTTGTTGTCATCTGCAAACTTACTGAGGGTGCACTCTATCCCTCATCCAGATCATTGATAAAGATATTAAACAAGACTGGCCCCAAAACTAAGTCCTGGGGAAACACAGCTTGTGACCAGTTGCCAACTGGATTTAACTCCATTCACCACAACTCTCTGAGCTTGGCCACCCAGCCAGTATTTTACCCAGCAAACAGTACACCTGTCTAAGCCATAAGCTACCAGCTTCCCTGGGAGAATGCTTATTGTGAATTTATTACTATTATTACAAAATCACTCACTTCATACTTAGCAGTTATTAACAGCTGACACAACAGTACTTCAGAGAGACAGAAATATTGATTATAACTGAACAGTTGATTACTTCACCTTGGCAAAACAACAAAGAAAACAGATGTAAATGTGGTACCTGAAGAAGGCAGTGTTTTGTCATGGCTCGGTAACAAGCCCTGTAGCTCTTCTCCGTTGGGCTATCTCCTAAACAGTATCCCCATTTCTTCACCATATGAAATCTCTTTGCATGCCAAATATGCGTTTCCAGCCAAATATTCTTTCTTTGCCTGCGATTAAATTCTGCTACCAAATTTATGTGACGCCTTCTAGCTTTGCGGCATTTAGTCTTTGACTGTTCTTTTTTCTGATGTACAGCTTTCTCTGCCTGTTTTTAAGAGAGGATATTGACGTAAATCTCAAAAGGAAAAACTTCTGTAGAAAAAAAAGGCTGAAATATATAAGGATACAGGAAGCACCAGCATTAAGTTATACTTCATTCTGATGTTAGTTCTCCATAATTCTTGAGGCTAACTAACACTTTGAAACTTTATACACAAGCCCCATCCACACAAGCGCATCGAGGTTTGACTGGAACCCATAGATAAACCAAAATCCCTACACATTCAGAAACCTACCAGTGAACATCACTGGTTCTGTCACTTCCTGTGTGAAGTTTTTGCCTGACATTAATATATCCACCTGAACAAATGAACATGACATTAGGAACACCTGGAGATCTGAGCTTGTACAGAAGCAGTATGGACCTCAGACCACTAGGTAGGGCCCTAAGGATGATTGTACAATGTGTAGAAGCGAATAGGATGGGACTGTGGTGATGTCTTGACCAAATTCTTGATAAATACTCAGTCAAGGTCTGAATTATTATAGGTAAATGCATGGCTGGAGAGGAAGGCTTGACTCTCTCAATCAATGTTTGATTTGTCTTTTTGTGAAGAGAAGTGGTAGAAAGAAATAGGGACTATAAGACACAAAAAAATTCTTAGGATATCCTTTGTAAGCTCACCAAGGAAGAGCTGACAACAGACCACTGGTTGTAAGAATAGCAAAGGAATGAGAATGCTAGATGATCACTGCCAAGAACACAGAAAACATGGAAGCAACACATGACATCAAAATACAAATGCACAAAAAAATAAAATATGTTCCCATCAGACCCATCATTCCACCACAGAGTAGGCAATATAAGCCACTGGATCAATGGTATGTGACTGGTTCAGAAAGACAATTAGAGAAAAAGGGATGTGGTATTGTAGATGAAAAATGCATGTCTTTAAGCTTATGAAGAGGTAAGAGATAGTCCAGGTAAATGTTTGGATGAAAGCAGTCATGATAAAGGATGTAAGAAAAAGGAAGAAAATGCAGCAGAATCAGAACAGTTAACTTTGAAGAAGCAGACTCCAAACACTGAAAAGTAGGAGGCAGAACCTTTACAAAAGGAAAGAGCTCAGGAGATATGACAAGCTGCAAGAAAGCATGAAACAAAACAGCCTGTGCAAACATACAAACTACACCAAAAGACTTGAGGAGAGAAAACATAGCAGAAGAAATACAGTTGCACCAGGGCCAATTAAATAATCTCAAACATCCAAGAATCACACAAGGAGTGGAAACAAGGATGGGAGAATAAGTGTGAGGATGTACAGAGAAGTTAGAAAGGCTATCATGTGAAAGGAGTTAAAAAAGCAGGACACAAAAGAACCAAGCATAAACATTAAAGAAATTCAAGATTATTTAACAAGAATAGAGCACACAACTAACTATGCAAAATAGCCCACACCTTCTTCCTCCAGTTCTCAGGAAACAGGCCAAATTGCATCTCTTGTCTTGACTAACAAAGCAAAAAGAATGCCAACCAGAGCAGTAAAAGAAGAGATACAGGTTATGCAGATCCAATAAAATACATCTTAAGGAACACGTGTGGAAGTACCCGAAGCAATTTCTGAATCATGAACAACTATCTTCAGGAACTCAGGATGGAGGGGGTAAGGTCTCAAAGAACTTAAAAAAGATAATGCAAGGGGAAAAAGAATGCAAGTAGTATGTTAATCGGTCAACCTTAATACACAGAAAACTTACCAAGTAAACTCACTTGATCACTTTAAGAAGTGTCTAGAGATGATAAAGTGATCAATGCCAAACATCAAACAGATCTTTTTACAATAAAAGCCTGCGGAACCAATTTTTTGGGTTTTTTTTAAACACACAGGAAGGCCACAGTGGGTAAGGAGCAAGTAACTCCACAGGAGCATTCTGACTAAACATTGAGATACTGCCACAAAATGAGACAGTTTCATGAGCAACCAGGAATAGTCAATTAGTAAGTCTTAAGCTGCATGCAGCCTGCCAACAGCTCCAGCATACCTCCCACTTTTGAGCTATAACACATGAACAGGCTATGCTGGCTTGAGGCCAGAAGGGTCACACCCTACAGCTGTGGTGGGGTGCAAGGCAGACAGGCATTATCAAGGACTCCTGGATCACCTGAACAACTCCTCCTACAGTGGACCCTTTCATCATGACTATTCTAATAGCTTTTCAAGATGTCAAATAATAACAAAGCCAAGTGGTTAGTGAGATCTACTACAGCTACCACCTAAAGCTGAGGTGTTCCTGCATTTTGAATCCAAACGTCAGTCAAAGTTTGAGAACCTGTGTACGCAGGGAAGTTTTGCAGATAAGCTCAGGTCTGAACATGAATAAATGTACAGCTGAACACTGTGCATTAGCTATGCCCACTATATAGTCTATTGTCGTGGCTTAACCCCAGCCAGCAACTAAGCACCACGCAG